GACGCTCGATTGGCCGTGGCCATCTCCTGTCCTGTACAAACTGACTGACTGACTGACTGATTGTAACGTGGCGCAAAATTGAATTGTTTGCGGCACCGCGGAGTATGCTGGGGTTTCGTTGGCAGGTTTTGCCGGTAATGGCTGTGCAGGTCATATTATATGCTGTGTCATTCATTCCAAACGCTCATATGTATTTGGCAATAACCCCTGGAAGGCTGCTCGCTCCCAACTTTTGGCTATGGACCTTGGTGACCTTTTCATTCTTCAATCACTCAATATTTCTTCTATGCTCTGATCTGATGACCATGTTTCTTTTGGAGAGCTTTCTGTCAGTATATAGTTGGATGGAGCTCCTAACCTTCTGTGCATTCGTCAATTTGGTTACTGGTTTGATCACTGTCACGCTGTTGTTCATAGAGTACGCAATTACGTTCGACACCGATTTATTATTTTCCGCCAACGTGTGCGGCATTCTGGCTCTCTTGGGGGGAATAACGGTCGTCGGACGGCAAATGATGGGTGACAAATTACTTTTAGACTTTCCCCTGGGAAAAATCCGACAAAAGCATATCCCTTTCATGTGTTTCTTGACCGCAGTCGCACTGCGCATTGCACAGATCATTGGTCAGGTTTCTTTCTGCATGTTCACAGGAGGAATAATTGTTGCATGGATATATTTACGTTTTATTCAGAAACATAGCAATGGTGCTAGGGGAGATATCACGGACACGTTCACCTTTTCAGGGTAAGTTAATCAAAATCCGGTTGTGATTTCTTAAGGTTTTTCCCTAACCATTTAGAGCCGCCGATAGCAATAGTATCTAATACTGTATATGGCGCATTTGTTAAGCTAAAAATATGCGCCGATCAACCATCGCGCCGAACCAATAAAAAGTCTATTGCCCCGGTCATGCCATTCATTCTGAATGTCCGTGAACACTCACTGCCGGGAGATAAAGAGTGAGTCAACTATCATATCTAACAACTATTGTTTCACTATATTTTTTACTGCTTTTGCTGTTTTCGCTGATATCGGTAGTTTGAATATTTTGTGTAAAAATGCAGCTACAATTGGCAATTCACACAAGGCGCTCATGTGATTCCGGACAACATAGTCGAGCGATCTTCGGTAACAAAACTAAAGTTACTGCTAAAGTTTCTTAACTAGGAATAAAGATATCGTAATTAATACGCAGATAAATGAGAAAAAGTAACCGACAAACGTCAATGTTGTGAAGCATTCAAGGGATATTTCGCGGAGAGACCGTACCTTGACGTCATCATCATCGTACAGCAAAATACAGTGAAGCGAACTTCACTGATCGCTGCCAAACTCGCAATGCATACAGGGTTAGTGGTAAAATTTAAGGTGGACAGGGATTGGACCTATTCTGAGGGGGGGGGAGGAGGTGAACCTCGATGGCCAACACAGAGTGCACAATCGAACTCTGCATACATATCGTTTCAGGCATTTTGACCTGATAAGAAACGACAATACGAACGCCACTGCTGTTGGTTAGTCGCCATATCCTTCAATGTCTCCAACCAACCAGTTGTGGAGTCTTTCGGACCCCAACCTGGAAGGCGAGAGACACCTACTCTACCTAATGGCTCTGTGTATTTCTTTTCGAAGAAGGGAGCCCATCACAGCTTCGCGGTCAACTGAGTCGAAGGCTCCTTTCAGGTCAAAGAACATTGCGATCGTTGGCCGACGGTGAGTGTGATGTAACGTAAAAATCTGATCAATACATCCACGGCCAGGCCGGAATCCGGCTTGCTGTTCATGAATGTTGGTCTCTCTCAAGGGTGTCAGACGTCGAAGTATAACCGAAGCTAGTACTTAGGTGGCGATCGGGGTCAAACTTATCCCGCAGTGGTTTTCGCAATCGTTGCGGGATCCTTTCTTGAAAATAAAAACGATCAGTGATTCGCTCCAAGATGAAGGAATGTGCTCTTACATCCAAATGTTGCGCAGTAGGGTAGTAATAGAAGCTACGAGGTTGTCACCTTCTATCTTGAAAAGAGTGTGAGGGAGCTCATCAGGTCCTGCTGCCTTTCCTCGCTTCAGAGCTTGAATGCAAGACCAAACTTCTGCTTCCGTTGGAGGACCGCATAACGGAGGTGAAGCAGCCTGGTTAGCACTAGGCCAGCTGAAGTATTCTGCCCAGCGATCGAGTCGTTGATCCCCATTGCGAATAGCTCGTCCCCTCTTATCGCCGACTGTTCCACTAACGAGTTCGCCGACCTCCCGTATTGCGTATCAGTCGGAACAGTCTTTGACTATTCCCTGATGCAGCTGCTACTTCCATTTCATTAACTATTGTTGCCCACCAGTTCTCACGGTCCTTCTTGAGGCTCTTCATGATCCGACGTTGTAGCTGCCACCTAACTCTATTTTAATCCTGGCAGGTCGGGACTTGTCGCTTTTGCCCCATCAGGGCTACTGACTCCTGAGATATCCAATGCCTCCGACGGGTTTGAAGCTCAGACCTTGACATGGTTCAGTTCAGTTTTCACAGGACAGCAAATGGCCACGGCCAATCGAGCGTCCATGATTCATTCGGTGGTAGGCGGCCAAGTGTGGCGCCCACCACTGCGAAAAGTAGTCCGTAACTTCCTTGTTGAAAAGAGGAAGAAAAGGAAAGGATGCCTCGTCTCACCTCCAAGGCGAGAGATTGTTATACGTGAGCGTCATCTTCCAGATCACATTCCTATAAATGGCGGGACAAAAACATGCAGCCTGTGTCCCGCTTTTACTCTTCTAGTTTTCTTAAGTCGGTGGGTGGATGGTCAGGCCTCCACTTCAGGAACAATTTCAGACCACCGTTCGTTTAGGGCCATCTTTAATGCTAGCACGGTCTGCAGTTCTATTAGCTCCACGGGCAATCTGTTCCTTATGTTGACTACCCTGTTGCTGAGGAAGTGTAACTGGGCGATCAATCGAGACTGGGTCTTGGACAGGTTCATTTCGTGCTCCCCTGTACGGGAATCTAGTACCTCCTGGAACAGGATTCCTGGTCTAAAACCAGACAAGCCTTTTATAATCTCAAAGTTTTCTATCATATCTCCACTGAAACTTCTCTTTTCTAAAGAGAATAGTCTCGAGTCTTGAAGCCTTTGCTTATAGTCTTCACTCTGCTGACCCTCAACCGTTCTCGTTACTAGCCGATAAACGCGCTCTCAACAGGCAGCATCCCTTTTGAAGAAGAGTGACTATGCCTGGACATGATACTCTAGTTAGGGCCTGACTAAAGCCTTGTACAGAGGTATGACTACCTCAGGTTTACGACATGACAACGCTGACCTTAGTCTAAATAACACCCCTAACTTTCTGTGCCGCTCTGGCATGTTGGTCTGATCATTTAAGGTCAGCTGTTAACAAAATTCCTAGGTCTTATACACTTCACCGCTTCCGTAGTGAAGAAACCTACTTCCTGTCTAACTGTGATACCCTCTACGGTCCGTAACAGCAGGTGGTTTTTGCCAACATTGATTGGCGAGTCCCACTTGAGGACCCACCTTAGGACTGTAGCAATATTCCTGGCCAGACCCTCATGCCCCTTTGACCCTAGCACCTTCACATCGTCCGCGACGAAAAAGCGAGGTGGCTGGATCGTTAACTCTGAGTTATCTATAAACAGGAAGAACAAGATGGGTCCTAATACAGATCCCTTAGGTATTCCACTAGTGATATCTCTCAGACTGGAATTGGAACTACCTACTCTTAAGTAGAAAGTTCTCTCTTCATAAATCATATATTGAGCTATATACCTGCCCCTCTATGCCGACGGCTTTTAACTTGATTAACAGTAGGTGATGGTTCACGGAGTCGAATGCCTTATTGAAGTCAAGGTAGCACACCTCCACGCCTTTGCCTTCATCCAAACTGCGGGTTAATTCATCTAGGGAGCACAAGACATTGGTGATACACGATCTATTTTTCAGGAACCCATACTGAGCAAAGCAAAGCATAGCGTAATCTATTAGGTGCTTCCATATGTGGACTCTAATGATTATTTCCAGGAGTACCAGGGACTCCTAGGCACTCTAGATAGCTTATACAGACATTCATAAGGAGTCTGTATATTGGGTGATTTCAATTTCCCAAAAATGGATTGGGAGGT